TATAGTAATTGTTGTATATATTAGATAGATAATGATTCTTTAACTTTGCTTGGAAGGGTTTACAATATTAGACAGAAATATCTGATGTCCTTTATACACAACAATAAAGTATAGCTCTAATTTCTTCCTACATCATTTGGCCTACTGATTAATGCTGATGCTTTGACTAAGAGAGCAATTTGTGATATTCATAGCTCCCAGATATATCTGGAAGCCGGCAGAATAATGTCAATATGCTTTATAGACTCTATGTTCGTTTGAATTAAAAGTGGAGTCATTATACCTCTGTGCTGTTTTGCCAATACTCTAACCTTACGTTTACGTATAATGGTCCTTTATGATTGTTTCCATCACATAATTAAAAACTACTGATGAGGAAGAAGTCTGAAGATGAGAGAGAAACTTCAATATGATGAAGGCCTCTGTGAGGTTTATTAGAGGCATGTGTAATTAAAGGACTTCAGGCTTACATAAGGGAATTTCAAAAGCTTTAGCAAAATATTGAAAAAAATTTCAGTATTGTTTGAAGCTTGTTAATGATCAAGATCATGACTGAAATTCTAATTTGCTAGGGGATATAAGAATTTATTGTTCAAGTGGTACTTGAAGGCCTTTAGGTGATGGTTGCTATTTTATTACAAATTTGAATCTTCAGACCTTTCATAGCAAATCTGTTTGCACAAAAACAAAATCATATGAATTTTGCATTATTCCTTTTAATATCTGAACATTGAAAAGGGTAACTTGAATATTGAATTGTTAAACTTTATATTTCATTTAGATGGAACAAATAACGTCGATAATATTTTAGCAACTGACTCTATCTTTTGTACTTGTCTTTGGATTTGAAATCAAATATGATTAATATTGCTGAACAATATTTTATGTGCAGTAAGTTTTTTTTCAAGTATTGAGTAAGATAAATTTAATATAAATTTAAGATTAATATTCATGACTATGACTTTTATTTTTGTCTGATAAGAAATAAATTTAGAATGATGTCAACGAGCAAAATCCCATCTTTTCTATTAAAAAATAACTCGGAAGAGTAACGATCCAACAAAAATAACATTAAAGTAAAAACACTTTATTGAGATGAGGCTAATATATTTTGGACTGGCTAACATCCACGTTTTATAACCAGAGAGAGTGAGAGAGAGAGAGAGAGAGAAGGAATATGTAATGAATATTACTGAGGTGACTTTTGGACAGGTGACATCTATTAACATACCTGTAATTAAAAGGTAAAACCGACCACCAATACGAGCCATCACAGGTCGTACTTGGTGTCCAATATACCAGAACCGCCTTCTCTGAACTGTGAAAATGATAATGGGTTCCTGGCACCATCTATTGGACAGTGTCAATGATACATAGACCGTGATAGAAGTATGGGAATCTATCTTCATTGATGTGTCATTCATGATGAAAATCGTTTCAGGTAAAATGCATAGGGATGTGATAGAATAGGTACTGTCATTATTTTATTATTTTGATGGTTGCATTTGAATGCATGTTCATCTCTCTCTCTCTCTCTCTCTCTCTCTCTCTCTCTCTCTCTCTCTCTCTCTCTCTCTCTCTCTCTCTCTCTCTCTCTCTCTCTCTCTCTCTCTGGTGGTTGTATTTTTGACAATCTGTGTTTATGTATGAAAAACTTGTTGCACTAATCGTTTAATGTTCATGACGCATGTAAGGCAAACCTGATTAATCAAATCATCTTGTATGTACATGCAGTATTGATTGATTTTGAACATGAAAATTGTCAGTTGGACTTTGTTCTTGTAAAAGTGATGATATTTTTATTTCTTTGTAATGGCTGTTTTCATTATCATCAAATATCGATAAGGTTTTACGATCAAAAATCGCCATAATCGAAACTTGGACACGCAAAATTTAGATTAGAACTAATTGTTTGTCATGTAAGACTTCTAAATGTTATTAAAATCTAACAATTTTATGTTTATATACGTGTAGAACTTGCTATATGCAAACATTTTTTTTAATTACTGTCACTGAAATATTTGGAAAGAAAAGGAAGAAGATTATATAAGAACTAGTGTTGTTCATCTAAAATGTAGAAAACGATACCGTATATGATGATTTACGTCATAAAATTATGAAAAAAATAAGGAGTATAATTTCGAAGCTTGAAAACCATTACACGTATATAATAATTAAGAAAGGTATTAACTTTCTAGTAGATCATAAAAGAAGTCAACCATCCGAGTGGCACTTCTTGGAACGATTCTACATCATGTGATTACAATTTAATAATGAATCATTAAAAAAAAACGTATCATTTTGCATTTTGAAAAAAAAAATACGTTTATAAAGTAACAATTTGCATATTTTGTGAAAAATCGTTTTTTTAAGAAACGAGAGCCTCAATCTATTATTCATGGTACTTGAATTTCTTATCACTGTTTAGAAAAGACGAGATACTTGATCGTTGCCCGGATGGTGTTCAGCAAAGCTTGAAATTGATATTGGATGACAGGGGATGTGTACCGTGTTTTATCATTTATGAGGGCTTGTATTCCTTTTTTTCTGCATCTTTTCTGAAAAGTGGCAGGAGTTTTACTTAATAAGGCTGTAAGTTATTGAAATATTTATATCTCTTAGCAAGTCTTTATTTCTCTTGTCTATAGAATTGTTTAGCATGTTTGGTATTTGCTTTAGAGATGCACTGTCTTTTCATTAACAGTTGAGTTCTAGACCAGAATTATTATGTAAGATATTTTTAAGATCTATATTTTTAATCGCAAGGAAATATTTAATCTGAGTGCAATCACGGCACAGAAGTAAATTCTGAATGAAACTTTGTAAGAGATATGTGAAATTGCCCCTAGGTGGCTTGATAAAATTGTAAAAATCCAGAGAGTTTGATATTTATCTGATTTTAATGTTGTTCGTCGTATTCGAGCTGTCTGTTTTACAGGTGTTTTAGAGCATTTGGTTTCCCGATAAAATCATTCATTCAGAAAAATTGTACCGATTTGCCCAGCTCTTAGTCCTTTTACAAAAATATGCTCGCCGTTTTTTCTATTTTTTGGGATAAATTCACCCTATTAGATGAAAGGTCTAAAAGCTATAGGAATCTTGTCCAGCTCAACACGTCTGTGTAATCTTGCTCAAAGATCTGCTCGATATTTTCAAAGAAGAAAATAAGCCAATGCAAATTAAGTGTTAAAGGCATTAATCGAATCTCATAAGGCTCCATTGGTATTGAAGTGCAAATTATATATTCTTTAGAATCTTTAATGGCTTTGTTGAAATGTTTAATGGGGTAGGAGTAACCGAAGCATGATATCAGAGTTTATTAAATGTTTGATTCCTTCAGATGATGACATGTTTTCTTTAAACGTTTTGGTGACTTGAAAGTGATAAAGTTTAGCCAAAATCACGTGGTAATATCAATTTTTAATCGTTTTTAGTCTGCCGAGGGAACTTTAAAGGATGATAATGATTGCCTTGCTTTGTCAAACGTTTTAGATTAAAAAAAATCAGCACTGCATTTATTTATTTTTGTTTGTGTGTTAGAAAGAAATAGAATTCAGAACGAAGTTTGTTTTATAATCGAATTACAAGTTTTAACTCCCAGACTAATATAAACTCTGGATTTAATTAATTTTTTTCTATTTTCCCTTAAATTCAAATATATATTCATTTTCCAGCTTATTTTTCCAAAATACTAATATTTATTTTAAAAAAAAGCTATTGGTATTTGCAAAATCAGACCTTGGTAATTCACTGCGATGGATTCATAGAACGAGATTTACAAGTGTGTATATAAAATTTTATAGCATTTGTCCTTAAAAATGGCCATCATTACAAAAAAAACATATAATCGGAACATCTGCTATATTCATGGCACCTTTGTACATGTACCATATTTAACCTTGTCTATTTCTATAAACTGGAGCCTATGGTAATAGTGCTCGTCTTGTCAAACGTTAGAAATGTTTTGGCTTATAGACATTCCACAGATAAGCAACAGAGAATTTTCCTTGTTATAATTAGAGTATACAGAAGTGTTACAAATGGCAGGCAAACTTCATGGTAGATAAAAAAGAATAAATATTGGATAGTTCTGGTATATCAAGCAGCAGTATTGCAGTTAGAAAAGATCGCAAATGAAACCTGACTCAGAACGGCTGCATGGTTTGGTTCCAGAACTTTAGGGACTTGAGGTACACTTGATAGCTATGATACGGAGTTCTGTGATTTAGATGGATTGTCAATATTACATGCCTCATGCTACTTATCATGGATATGACGGAAAAAGAAAGAAAAAATATTTTGCAACAGATCCCTTGGCTAAAGTAATGTCTATTAATAAAGTTTTGGAAACGTGTTACCTCTCGTACAATTCATATGGTTGTTTTTTTTTTTGAGAGAGAATAAATGAATGAAAATAAATTCAATTTTTTATAGTTTAAAATATTGGACAATTTGAAATTGGTGACAAAATGTTTTAACAATTACTAGCACACAACAATTTTTTTTCCTGTGTTTGCAACCTATAAAAATTGAAAAAGTTGGAAATGAATAAAAAAGAAATTATATTTGGTGTTAGAGATCCAAGTTTCTCAGTTTTAATTCGTGTTTGTTTTGGGACTTGTAGTTTGATCTATAAGTTTTGGAAACTTGCTAATATTAAATAAATAAAAGTTTGAAAAAGAACTGCAAAAGGAAAATTGGAGAATTCGAGACAGTTAACATGTTTTAATAATAGCACACGAAATTTTTTTCCCGGTGTCTGCAACCTTATATGCGCCAGATTAAAATAAGATACAGAAACATTTTTTAAAATTAATTTTTGTTTTAAAACTTGGTGGAGAGTAATTTCTTTAAATTATATCAAAAACTTTGAAAAACCTGTATAAAGTTACACAATGATATATATATATATAGATATAGAAGAGAGCCCCTTGTTGAGGTCATAAAAGGTGTAGTAAAGGTATAAGGAGTATGCACGTATCGATCGTTACGTGATAATGGGCTGTAATGACTTCGGCATTGTTGCACCTGACGGTGGATGTATGTGTAGGTCTTGTGTGACCAAGGTTCCATGCCGGTAGGCGAGCTTATGTGACAGAGTGTTTTGTTTTCTATTTTAAAGTATTGTACAGTCCCTTCTAAACAATGATCGCGATTTTCTGAGTTAAGATTTTCCTGTTTGTGTGAATTTTATTAGACTTTTTACCGACGAGGAATTTTAAAGAGTTTAGGATTTATTGATTAGCGGTTTGAGAGGTAAGAGCAAATTCGGGTTAATAATCAAAGTTCTGTGTTACAAATTAAGTTATTTTATTTATTTAGAAGTTCTATTTTAAAAGAAGGTTATTTGTGATTTGTATATAAGTATTTATAATTCTGGATATTACCAATTTTTGCGCTATCGACTGAAGCAAATGTGCGAACGTTGCGCTTTATAAGTCATACTGTCGCTGCTCATGATTGAATTTATACGAATTTTATTACATGTTTATATTCCTTTTTCTAGTAATTTCGGATCTTACAAACATTTCATACAGTCGTTTCCTAGGTTGTCTTTCTGTTTGGGAATTTTTTTTATATTGACAATGGATTTATATTACCTTATTTCTTTTGAAGAAAACATATCATACTTGCAATACAAGCTAGTGTAACAAATCCAAAAGATTTTTGAGTCGAAATTGAATATATGCAGTGCACACCAAAAGGTCCCAACAAAGGTTAATTATCATTTAAATATATTGCTAACTGATTCTTCTCTGCGGTTGTCGCATTTCAAAAATGTACTTTTAAAGAAAATATCTTTCGTAGAAATATTGATACTTAACAAGCTCTAGGTATATGAAAACATAATTATTACATTTTCCATTGTCCTCATTGTTACAAGGAGATGGGAACTGAACAAAAATCATTTCTAATTCAAGAGTCTTATGCAATGAATGTATAAGCCTTGTATAAGGGTTTCATTAAATACGAAAAAAGTTTTGGCTTTACATAAATGCATTAGTTTTTCAATATGCCATGTTTCTTAATACCATTATGTGATTGTATTATCCTAGAGGTTTTGAAATCCCGGATACCTTGAATGCTAGGGTCTAAGGATGGCCTACTTGAATGGGTGTCACTTCTTTGTGTGTCTTCAGAACTCGAGTATATTCTTACCATCGTTCCCTTGAAACTTGACATACCATGAATTAATTATACTGTCAGTGACGAAGAGCGGTTTTGTCGCTTCAAACATTGATTTTTTTAAAACTATAAATCATCGATCCTGTTGGTTTGCAAGCATATATAAATATATTTATCCTTCAGGCTTAAAAAAAGTTTCTTGGAGTGCTCTCTAGTCTTTTGCATGCAGCTTATAGTTGGTCTTTTTTGAATTTCCCAAAGAAATTTAGTTTTGTTCACTGGTGCATGTTTGATATGTTTTAATAGTTGTATGTGTTTTGTCATATTGTATGTAGTCTGTGCAGAATTTTTTATGACTGCATGAAAAATGGGAAAATAAGGAAATAAAGATGTTGAGAGTAAGTTTCTACTTGCTTTCTGTAATTTTCGAATCATATAGATTGTTTCTGAACTAAAAAAATAAAGTTTTTTCCCCATTATAAATGGTCTCGTACGTCAGCCACTATAAGACTTGCTCCACTCTAGAGACCAATGTTTTTCACCTCTTCTTGCCTTATAAGATGTGAACATCAGGAATGCAAACACAAATCACGGCTCCCGCTTGTCAAGAGACTGTATTTAGATTTCGTGTGCTGAAAAATTCAGTTAGCAACAGTGGCAGTTTTCTGCATATAATTATACCCCCATTAAAGACAAGTCAGTGGTGACTTTGAATTTTAATTTGGCCTCAGTGTCTGTGTAAATGATACGCACAAGAAGTTTGCTCCTTCCACATAATTTGCAAATGGAATCTAGATGTATGTGGACATTTTCTGTCCAAGAGGACGTTGACTTCCGGAGATTGGCGTGATTACACTGAGTGCTTTAGTCACTTGTATATCATGTTTTGGCGGACTACTGAGAAAACATGCCGGGAACGGTAGGAGCATTAAGGTAATAACATGCTGTGTGTTGTAAGGCTTTCTCAAGCGTTGTCCAGTTATTGTCCATTTGAATTAAATGTAGGGCCACTGTATTTTAAGGCCTTTCCGATCAAGGTACACAAAATTTATCTGTTTTTGGTCAAAGTTTGAAGTATCACTGCCTTTACATCTTGCTGTCAGTTGGCCATGGCTGTAAATAATCAGGCACTGTCATTCCTTCAACAAGTGGACGTTAAGTTTGAAAATATTTACTCTGCTTTGTTTATTGATAAGCTTGGAGCCCCGGGATTTTCATCAAGGAGTTTTGAAACACTCGTACAGCTATTGACGGCAAGGAGGTCACGGGAAGGTGTATTGTCCCAAGTCGCAGATAAAATAAAAAAAAATCCCTGACGTTTTTTACATGAGTTCACATAGGTATTCTCACACAAAGAATAATGCAAAAAGTAAAGATTATTTTTTAACGCCGTGAAATCCTTTGGTGCCAGATATATAATGCTCGGATTTAAATATCACATTCTCAGATGGACAAGGAAATTGGATTATAAGGTAGGAATAAGAGGGGTTATTTCGTCAATTAGAGTGTTTCTTTCACCTGGTGTTTGATTCTACAGTAGCTGTGCTTAAATTACCTGGCAAATTTTAAAAGTCGGTGATCTCATGATATCATTATAAGATCAGTTGATATGGTATTATATTTTGACTTCGAATTCGTCAACAATAATGATGGAAAGGCGGTAAGAACAAATATTTTTTGGTTTTAGGACAGTCGTGTTAAAACAATATTTTTGTCAGGTGTCCTTGCAATCTAATTACCAAATCAACTGAAACCTTTGAGGTGATGGTTTCATAGAGATTTATAGAAATTCGTTAAACTGTAAAATTTGGCTTATTGAAAAACCTATCAAGAGGAGTTATAATAGCTAAAAGATAACAATACAAGCACCATTAAATAAGAATTCTTCTTTATTATCCTGGAGTGAATTTATTGACTGTGAAAAATTGCAACCGAGTAACAAATTCGTCATTGATTTTCTGCCTTCCCAATAATGTTAAGATATGTGGAATTTTTGAAGCATGTGCCTCAGTTTTAGTGGTTACTGGTTAGACCAAGGAGACAGTATTCAACTGGCTTAAGTAAATATTGATAGAAAATGAATGGGTTAGGTTATTTCTTTTTTAAACAAAATATAATAATGTTGGCAATTCTTATTTTCTTGCTTCTGCTTCTTGCATTATGCTTATTACACAAATTGCCAAACGTATGGCCAAGAGGGACAGAATGAAAAAGAAAGAGAGGGAGTTAATTATACTTTCTTGCTGTCATGTTGTAAATTTTTCATTTACCTCCACCAATTGTTAATTCAAAGTTTACAACATGACATGAAAGCTAAAGTTTTATTTTTGAAATATTAAGTGTATGTTGCGTTTATTATAAAAATAACAGATCTTTACTCTTTGAAGAGTACACCCATATATCTCTGACTAGAATTTACAGCTCATTAGGTGCAGAATTAAATAGCTTGTTTTGATCCGGTACGGGAAGAACTGTCTCGATATCAAAGTGCAATGTCAGATTGAAATCGTATCAGAAGACATAATCTTACACGAGGTCGAGATTATGAATCCCGATCTTGTATCGATAGGGAATATGCAAAATATTTGGCCCCTTCAAGCTTCTTATGTAGACAGTTATTGGACGCCCGTCTCATTATGTCGGTTATGAAAAAATTGAACACAAGTCGTGTGCAAGGACGTGTATGAAACGTGAATCAAATTTGAATCTTCAGATTGTGCCATGAGGCATACTGGAGAGAATCACCAAATCTAGGTTTTGAGAAAGATGCTCTCTAAGTTCTGTCTCTGAATTAAAAAAAAAGGTTGGAAATGTTGGACTTATGGGCTTATCTCTTACCTGATATTGATCTCTGCATGCGGATGTTTTCACGTGGATTAAAACTTGGGTGGTTTCCTCGGCTTCTGTCAAATGCTGTGTGATACCTCAAAGAAATATTTAACATTCTGTTGTATCTTGGAAATTGGGGAGGAAAAAGATATATGAGGCATTTAGCTGACATGCTGGGGGCCCTTTATGCTCACGGAGATGGTGACTAACAAATGGTATCCCTTTTTGGCTGAAAATTTGGCGATAAAGTAGAGCAGTAATTTACCTGTATTTATCCTGAATCCCAGCGCTTGCACTCAAATCATCTACTTTTGTCTGTGGTATATCTAAAACAATACGGGGTGGGAAAATGCACTCTCTTAATTGTAAAGTTGAGAAATTTGCCAAATCTTAATGCAGCTTTGTCTATCCATTCTCATTACATCATAGATTTTGAAAGACCAGGCTTCGATCTTGGCAGATTTGAGATTTGAGTAAAAGCGTTTTTGTATGCAACGTGCAACCCTGGTACGTTTTACGATCTATTTTCTGATGTTTTTATTGCAAAGGGTAATGGGAAAGATGAAAATATTGAATATAACTTGGCAAGTGCGAAAACAAATCACTTAATGTTAGCGATACGCAAAAGAACATACAAATATAGTAAGCATCAAATCTTCTTTCAGGAAGAAAAATATATAATACGATGGATGCATTTTCCTCTTTTACATTCTTTGTAATTTTTTTTTTAATCGATCACTGTCAATTTTTTTTTAATTCTATCACAGAGACTTCGAAGAGTGCCTTGTAGTTTGTAGCAACAAATTCTATAAATTGAAATTTTCTCCTATATTAGAATTTAATGTGCTTCTTGCAGCGTCAAGTTTTCAGTAATCGTGAGATACAGTCAGCGATGCAGTAATTCTTGATGAATACACTGCGTACAGACATTGACTTGACAGCTGCATGGTTTAAAATGAAGTGAAATGTTTATTTAATGGTATGGAAACTCATTTATCTTGTCACAAGTTTGAAAAGACGCCGTAAATGTATGCATGGCATAGTAAATAAATGTTTGAAAAGGTGCTCAGCAGTCAGTAGATATCTTATTGTTCAAACTTCAGTTGTTGCATCTGTTGACTTGAATTTGACTCTTTGAGCAATTGACAGACTGAGTTTTGAAACACATAAATAAATAGCTGTCTTCAATGTTTTCGAAGTTACAAGTTTCGAAGTATCAGTTCTATTTATAGTATTTTCCAAGTAACGACAGCTGCACTTTCGCATTTTTTTTTTAATTATTCGGCTTCATTTTTTTTATTCAAATTTGGACACCGCATTTATGTTGACAATTTTATTCTCGCTTAATTCGATTTTAGAAAGGGCATTTATTCTGAGCGTATACTGATGTAAGGAAGTCTGGAAAATATGTGATAGATGTGTCGTATTCTCTGCAACAATGTATAATTTTACATCTTAAGCTTCCCGCTGATATCTATTTCCTTTTAGTATTTCGTATGCTTAAAGTATACTAAAAACATCAGTGTACGTCAAAACAAAAGCATAATGTGGTTGGTATAGTTCAAAATACGGTTACGAAAAGTATGATGTCTACTAGAAGTGACGCCAACAGGGGTAAATGGATGGTGTTTGCACTTTGTAGAATGAATGACTTGCATGTATGTTACCCCTGTTTTTGACAACTGACTCGTATAGATGGGAAAAGGAACAATGTAGTTAGTATTATACATACGTGTATTAGTCAGGCGTGTTGAGAAGAAATCTTGTCAGATTTCGATTATAGAGAGAATATACAGGTTGTGAAAGAACGAGTTAATACACCCTTTTCCCGTGTCCTTGAGATGTACATGTGTAATATGATGCAAAGTTGAAGCAATACTACTAGTAAACTAGTATTTTCAAAGTTCATTTGTTTCTCATGGTCTTTGAACAAGTTTGTAGAGGAGAAAACGTTTCTAAGATAGTAGCCGTACAGAGCTTAACTTGTACTCAAGTTGACTTTTGTTCAGAGGCAGCATATGCTACTTGAAAAACACAGCAGCCTAGAGAAGAGGGAACTTTATCTGATAGGATATATCTTTTTATCCATAAAGTAACACGAAATGTGAAAATAATATCGTACATCGTGATCGAAATTATATTGCTAACAACGAAAGCGATGAAACTCTCATGCAACTTGTCTTCAGCATGCATTCTATGGAGCTTTTATATTTATATTTTGGTGGATTATTCACCATCTGTATCTGTGTTTCTATATGGTGGTTTAAGATTCCCAGCATATTTTGATGTTTTTATTGATAATGGGAGACTTCTTAAATACACAAATCGAAATTCCCAACCCCCTACGTAACAACAGGCTAAGATTTCGCTTCACACCGAAGACAAAACTAATTTCATTCGCAGCATCATGAGTGTAAACATCTGCTACTGAAAGTGTAAAATAATCCACCTCTAAAAGCTTTCCAGCTTTAATCGGTATCGACGTTAAAAACATAATTAATATTATAACAAAGAAAATGCTATCTTCTCCATGCCTTCTTAAACATCTTCTTGTGCGTTTCTTTCCGAAGATTGCTGGCGAAGAGGCATGGCTTTTGTGCAGAATGTAAATACGGCGTAACCGAAAATATCTTCTTGTTCTGAAAAATCTCGCTCGGGCTCAGTGTTGATTAAAAGAACTGAAAACAAAAGAAAAAGGGGCTGTCATAACCGTATTATGGTAAAGTCATCACGAATTCTAGATTTTTCTGGTGCTGCCAAGATCGCTTTGCTACAGGAAACTGGCATGTTTATTAGAAAAATGTCGACGAAAAGGTGTTTGATTATTTTTCTTGCTTCAGAGACCAGTACCAAAATTTAAGAGAAACATTTTTTGGCTGAAGCTTTGAGACAAGAAGTTAGTATTTTTATTGCAATGAAATTGGATATTAAGAGAAAGGATTCCGTGTGCTTGTTATAATTGAATTGGCTTTATTCTCGCGACTCATTAATGAGAGCATTGTCTGATGTTTATATGGATAAGACGGGAGCTTTCATTTAAACTGGGAAAAGATAAAGCGCGTTGAGTACTACGCAAACTTGGTCTTTCAATTTGGAATCTCATTTTGTTTTATCACGTGTGTTGACATTTCTATTGGCGAGGCGCATGTAAATTGGCGATTGTGAAACCAATTAATGTATTGGAATTCTTTGATATCTGATTGATCGTATCTTAATGTTGTCGGTATTTTTCTGTTGGAAGCGAGCGGATTGCACGGTTTGAATGGAGAATCCATACAATGTCGGCGTGTTTATTGCATCCCTCGTTCTCCTTGTAATCAGTGCATGACTTTGCTTTGCTCAATTGCAATATTCTTAATTAAAAAGCCCGGATTACGCGTGTATTTCTTCTTCGTCTCAGGTATATTACGCAAGATTTAAGAAATAGATAAAAGAAGATTTGACAAATTCACCTATTGCATAATACATACATAGAGGTAAACTTTTTAAAATTTTTGAAATAAAGAAAAGTTCTTCACAAACTCTCTAGGCAATTTAATAATTATAAAAGAACGGGATGCAACTCGTAGACGATCTGGAAAGAGATAACATTTAATTAAGTTTATTTCTAAACGCATTAATGATAGGGTCTGTATATTGGACGTTTAATTTGTAACTGAGAAAACAGAAAAATCATTGTGGCTTTGCTGGGGAGTACTATTTAAACACCTGTGTAGCAAGATCCTTAATTTCTTAACTAGCAAAAAAATTTCAACTAGCTAAAAGCCTTGGGATTGAAAACACAACACAAATGCATTGCAAATGCCGATATCATTTAGTGCAGTGAAAGGGAAAACGAAAAACAACTTGTCACAGTCTTTTTAGTCACAGGAAACGCTGGACAAATTTATCACTCCGGTACTGGCTGACAGATGAAATGGATAATCCTTCAAACGACTAATTCAGTTCAACAAACATTCATCAATTATGTGTCAGCAATTGTAAGGGCTAATGAGACCCATTTGTATCAAGGTTTTTAAAAAAAGTGGGGAAATGATTGAGCTGTTTTAGGGGTAGTTTTCCATTTAAAGTTGGGTACACGTATCGTGGGGAATACTTTGTGGAGTCTCTTGCTAAATTCGTGTACTTATGGTTTGTGTTTTATTGTTTCATTGATACGTGACTCATACTCAGTTTAAAAGTTTTTTTTGCAAGGTATTTACTTCCGTTTTTTTTTGTTTATTTTGAAGGTTTTGTGTCAGATTTTTAGAGGTCTGATTGGTAGTTTAAATAAATTGTTGAATTTTGATTTTTCATTCGCAAAGTTTAAAGTAAGGTTGTTTTTTTTATGTAATCGTTATCATTGACAAGCACACCAAGGCTTGCTGTTGTTGCTATGCTGAAATTGTTGTCATAAATGTAATATTAAGCGAAACAAATTGTGGGGCAAAAAAGCAAACAGTTGTTTAACTTCAAAAGATGTCTGCTACCTCTGTTTTCACTTAACAAACAGCAGAAAGATACTTTGTCTTTGCGTTCAAAGAAAAGGTAGAGGAAGCGACTGAAGTCCTGTTACAATAGTCTGTTGGTTTTTGTGCCGTGTAACGTGTAATTGCTCATATTTTCCTCTCTTTAGCCATAATCATAAAATCAATATCTACTTTGATCCAACTCAATGGCTCTGCTCTTTTGGCTCAATATTACAGAATATATGATTCTCAAATACGACACCATTTTAGAAAGCATCGAGTAAACTGAGACTATAACTAAGGGAGGTAATCAATTCATGTATATTAATTCTCATAATGGTCATGTCCTTTACAGATTTCGATATGGCACAACTATACTCCAATTTGATAATTAAGGCTGAATGTACCCCATTAAGATTTTTATCCTTCACTAGTTTATCATTTAACGTCTTAGTATGGAGGAATCTTAATATCGATGGATGTTTTTATTGCAGAATTATAAGACTAATGCTTTAGTTTCTTTCCACCTAGGGAAAAAATGGCTGGCTGTTAGACGGTGAAACCTTTCCAAAGATGGTAACATCATTTACACTTATTTAGAGGAGGAGTTTAGAAAAGTTATCACTGTCTACTTTGTTTTATTTTACAGATTATGGCTACTAGCAGCCCATTGGTGAATTCCTATTGGACAGTGGCCAATCGGTGATGTGATTTGGATTAAAATATTATCAGTGTTTGAAGCGTCTGTGTATGACTGGCGAAAATTAGGTGCATGTGTATTCCTTTGTGAATTATCATAAGGCTTTCAAAATTATAGACCAAAATTACGATAATAAAGTTTTTATACAAAAAAACAGAACTATGTCTGAAAATAGTGATACCTCGAGCGAAGAAAGTTTGGCTCATAAGCATATGAACGGAAAAGATGATGACATTTGTCGCGATTTCTTGCGAAATGTTTGTAAGCGAGGCAAGCGATGCAAATACCGTCACCCTAATACTGACGAAGCGCGGGACCTGGGTAGACAACAAATAACTTTCTGTCACGATTTTCAAAACACAGGGTGCAGAAGAGGAAACTGTAAATTTCTGCATTGTACGCGGGAAGAGGAAGAACATTATAAACAGACTGGGCAACTTCCGGTGCGGCTTCAACAGGCCGCCGCCTTGGGACTCGGGGTCACTCCCAATGTGGAGGTACCGTTGTTAAGGGGAGAAATCCCCATCTGTAAAGACTACCTGAAAGGGAATTGTAAACGTGGTGCTAAGTGTAAATTCCGGCACATGACTGGAGGAGAATATGATTTTGAACTTCGAAAATCCGACCATAGAAATAATAACAATCAAATGTATGATCCATATGAAGATGACTTTAATACTTTTGAAGCATTTGAATATGGTCACACCCCTGGGGGAGTTAAACGAAGGAGAACCGAGCGGGAATTCGATGGATTCGGAGGATTTGAAGGCAGGTATTCCTCAAGCCGTCCATTCAGTTATCAGCTGTTAGAAGAGGAAAATTCTATGTTAAGAAGAAAAGTGGAAGAACTTAAAAAGCAAGTTGCGGATCTTACTGCCACCAACGAAGTGCTTTTGGAACAAAATGCAAGATATCGTGTCAGTAGGACCACTGCAGTACAATCTTTAAACGCAGCAGGTGTGCCGGTGAGCCAGCAATTGACGCCTGGCATCGGCGCAACTGCAAGTCCAGCGCAACCCCTTAATCAGCTAGCAGTTAGCAGCCTCGCTCAGCAAATAGCGCTAAATAGTGAACTGGCTTCCCAGCATGCTTTGCAGCAGCATCTGGCGAGAGAACTAGGTCAGCAAAATGCTGGAGGGTTAGCAGGGGCACCCCTCAACCCTTCCGTCACAATAAACCCAGGAAATATAGTTCCGGTCTCTCTTCCACAGAATGTTTCCTTGACTTCCGGTTCTATGCAACAGACACTTCCGCCTGCTGTCTCAATGACGCAGAGTATTCCACAGAATTTACAGGGACCCCCCTCGGCGCCTCTGGTGTCTTACCCCATTGTGTCCCAGAACATGAGAGCAGCACCCAGCAGCCTGGCCCACTGACACATGGTAAGTTACTTCTTACTCTTCACCTCAAATTATTGAGACAAGTATATAAATATCCTAGTCTGTGTTTCTCTTACTATCGTGCACATGCCTGTTAACTTTGGAATGTGTAATATTTACATGTAAACAGACGTATAATTCATTGAATTCCACGACAGGAAACAATGTTTGGTTTTTTGATTCATTCTTTTACGAAGGTGGAAAACAATTCCTCGTAGAAAAAAAAGATGAATGCTTCAGCTATTCAAAGATTTTCTTTTAAAAAATCGTGCATCAATTTAATTTCCCCAATATTCCTTTGGGGGATGTTAAAAGTTAAGGAAGGAGATATGAGAAAAATGTGCAAACTTCATATCCAAACCTGAAGCCATACAACTCTGATAACCGAAGTTAAGCTGGGTCAGTGATAGTGTTTCATTTGGAAAAAATACTTATATTTCTAACTACTTTGGATAGTGATCTCGGACCAGAATTTACACAACTAATAGTTTTAGTTGATCATGTTGATGCATCCGCAAAAGGATATTAAATGGTACATATCAATTTCGTTTGAAAGTACCTGAAAATAAAATTGCAACCATGCAGTATATCTTTAATTAATCACGTTACAAAACAAAAATCGATAATATGTTAATTCTAACAAAAGAAAAAAGGGGGAACACGGTATACTGATAAGATTTTAGATAATCATGTTATCCAAGATCAGGGCTATAGAAAGCGATTTCACTTTTAAAGCCACAACCGAATATTTTTAGTTTGTGCGGGACAGTATCAAGCAAAAATATCTTTATCTTTATATTGTAAGAGCGGTCGATGCATCAAAAAACCGTAATATACATGTAGCAGATGGATAAAAACATATATAGTAGATAAAAATATTGACGTCAGAGTATTTTATGAGTGCAATGAAAAATAAACTATAGAAAATAAAATGGAAACAAAGCAAGAAAATGTAATCCATTACTCTTCAAAAAAAAACCCCAAAGAGATGGATACTGTGATATCATACAAAACTGCCTGTACTTGGAGAAAAAAAACTTTCACGATTACCATTACTTTGTCATTTTGAAATAACCTGATATTAGGTCGCATTACGTAGTCTGAAAGATATACCCTATATAAAATTTTACAGAGATTCATTAAATGTCGCCTTTAAAAAAAATCTTTTTAAGTCCCTGAAAACGGTAGTTTTTGCCCTGTTCGTCTGTCTGTCCGCAAAAACTTTAACCTTGACCATAAATTTGAGCGGGTGGGACTATGGCTCTCTTATTTCATAAGTGTATTCCCTGTGAAAATAGCTGCAGATCTGTAGCTCTCTGAAATAATATATTGATAGACCGGAGAGCTACAGTGCCACCCATTGAAAAAACTGTATATTTATTGCGCACAAAAAAGTGCGCTCGGTTCTCGATTTATTCTTCAAAATTCTTACCTCAATTGCGAAAAAAGAAAAATTTCAAAAAATCCCTTTCTCCTTTATCAAGTATTCTCGTAGTTGACATCTGAGAGAAGCATATTGGACCGAATTATCTTTGAAACCAAAATGGCTGTATAAATAAGCGAAATGTTCGATGATTACAATGTCAGAGTCAGGAGGACTATTACCAACAATTATGAGGAATGTTTGGTTGAGGAAAAAGTGAAAGAATATGTTAGGAACATACGGTTAGAAATATTTTGAGATTACAGTTTAAAAAAATGGGGAAATAAATCGAGAACCGAGCGCACTTTTTTGTGCGCAATAAATATACAGTTTTTTCAATGGGTGGCACTGTAGCTCTCCGGTCTATCAATATATTATTTCGGAGAGCTACAGATCTGCAGCTACTGTGAAAAGACCCTTTTTTGATACCACTTAATTTGACCTCTTGACCTTGAAGTTTGACCTACTTTTAAGAAAAAAAAACACACTTTACCATTGGCCATAACTTTTGAACAGTTGGAGACTTTCATACTTCACTTGTGTATTCATTGTGTTTAGACCTTTCAGTGGTTACATGTATAAATATTGTTGACCTTTCGATCTTGACCTTAGAATTTGAAGCACTTTTAAAAAACTAACCCTGGCCATAACTTTTGAACAGTTATAAATAGGACTTTCATATTTCATTGGTTTATTCCTTGTAACAAGACCTTCCTTTGGGAACCGAAACTTTTGACCTTGACCTTTGGAGTTTGACATGCATTTGGAAAAAAGTCAACCCTTCTCATAAACGTCCATCAGTGTTTCACAAACATTTTGTTTTTAAAATGCATTTTTTTCGTAAAGTTGTTTTTCACACAAAGATGATTAATTTACCAGATTTTATTTGATATTGGATAGTCACCTTTTCCCCCTGTAATGGAATGATTTATCATAGAGGCTGATTAGTGTATGACAAAGCTCAGAGCGAAACCATCAATCCAGTCTTTCTCTCTTGTTCAATCATCAGTCTCGAGGTTTACGTGTAAATCGCCCAGTCCTTCATTTTTATAATGCCCTCTCTGCGTTGAAAAGGAAGGAAAATGATAGACATAAGTGTATAGAAATTGATCTGTATTAGCCTTAAATGATAGACGCTACTCCGTGAGTGTTCAAAATGAAGGCCTTTAATCACTTAACAGTTTGTCGTAAATCAAACAAAAAGTGGAACGAGATGTATAAGGATCGCCTGAATCTGGTGCATTTTTTGGTAGTGTATAATTATGATTTAGACCCCCAAAACCCTTCTCTACGATCGTTCCCTACTAAAGTTTCTTTAAATATCTTCATCTTCGATTTTATTTACCATAAATACGTCGTATTTGAAATCTCCGGACCACTTGTTAGAGAACGAGCTTAGTCTGTATGACGTCATAAGCTATCATGAAACGGCCTTCCATAAAGTGTCTGTATATACAAACGTTTTTGGATTGACGTCATCATTTGATTGTGTGTACATATAAATACCTCAGTGGTCTTGGGTCATTTGGGTGTTTCTTGTAATGTTAGATTAAGACAACTTGCCTTTCATTGTCCTTAGACATAGCTTTGATGACATATTTCGTTAAATCGGTTCCTGCACGTGGTGTATATAGTGACCACAACTGACCACTAGGGCTTGGAGCAAGTGGACACGAGGACACAAACACAAGGAGTGGGATTTTCCATAAAACATCAATGTCAAAATATTATTACCTGAAGAAATAACATTTTTGCAACGGTGTGGCGTGGAAATTTGTCTTGGTATTTTTTGATGTTTTTGTTCATGTGTACGAAAGATCTCAAAGCACTCAGGAATTCCTATGGCTCTTAGATCACAATTTATTACTGAGTACTGATTAATCCCTCTCTCTTGCTCTCTCTCTCCCTCTCTCTCTCTCTCTTTCGACGTGTTGAAATGAAATCAATACCCCAGACCATCTAAATCTTGTTGCATATAATTAAGGGCAGCGATGAGCTTGAACTATCGGACCCATCTTTCCCATTGAAACGCTTTATCTATAATGATGTGTGGGACCCTTTTGATCTCGGCTATCTGTCAGAGTGGCTCCTGAATCGGATAGCTCTGTCCTTTTTACACCTTTTGATTGAACTCTGCTTAGAAATTGATAGTCTTTTTTCACATAGCCTCTATCGGTCAACAATCAACTTTAAAAAAAAAAAAAATCGATGAATGAGAAGAAACGAACTCAGTAATTTGAAAGAAAGATCTTAAATTTTTTTCAGAATTGCTTATGATATATTGCTTTGAAAAACTAAAAATTTTGATAGTAAAATGTAAAACTCGTAACTTATGCAAGCAAGGTCTTTTTTACTCGGAGTGTTTAATATCTCTCTCCTTGGAACATTAGATTCTTTATGCATGTCGAAATGATCTTAAATAGCCACCTAGGTGTCAAAACAAGCAATAAATAAAAAAAAGATAATTAATTGCTTTTCTTTCGTTCTGTGACTTCTTCCTTTCAATCGATATAAAAACGTCTGGAATTTTACTCTCCTCTCGCAAATACTGCACTGGAATGTTTTCTAGACGTTTAAGGTGGTCTTGGCGTTGGAAGAAGACATTTCAGGGAGACAATAAAGATGTATAAATCATCCTTGGCTACCTTGGCTGTCATTTATTTTCTAGCTTTAAGCTGATTATACTTGCTCGGTTTGTCAGTATCTGTATTTCCAGGACCTGGTCATTTATGGCCCTTCTGCATGCAGAAAAGTCGTTGCACTGAGAAAAAGTAACCATCTTAGTCCTTTTCCGTTACATCAAAGTACAGTGAAATATTATACAATTAATAACACTTTTTGTCCGTTTTTTCCGTAGACGACGTCGTTATTCTCTCTGAGCTTTCGTTTTTAACTTGAGCTAATTACGGTTCTCCCCGTATTGGATTTTTTCTTTCCTTTGAATCCTGTTCGGTTTTACCTTAATCAATCAGATCCACTATCAATATTTCATTACCTGCTAGCTTTCTTTTCGGCTAAATGGATTGGTTTTTATTCTGTCGCAGACTTAAGATAACTTATTAATATTAACCACTGAGACTGACATTTTCAATATTAACAGAAATATTGTAGATGCACTAGAATTGTTCTGCATCTTTTTTTTTTTTATTTATTTTAAGAAGAATGACTAAAAGAAAAGCTTTACTTTCATCATGACACCCGTCACTGTTGCACTGGAAAAGTGAAGGAGAACTTTTTTGCTGCCGCCCTATAGAACCTCTGACCTTTAAATAATTCACTAATAGTCTGCACTATCCATTCAGATTACACCTACAGTTCAGATCAAAGATAAGGATGTTGTCTTGATTGCAGGTAAAAACAAAAAAGTACGGTACCTACTACCCAATAAGGGTCATGTGTACCGTTCTTGTTGTCAATATTTGTAAGAAATGCCCTGAAAATATATTCACTCATTCCTTACACACTTAGGAATTGATGGTGCATAATAACACACACAAAAAAGCAAAAATATTTCGGGGGTGGCAGTGAGTACCTTAAGATTTAGTCAATCAAAATGTTTGATCAGAAACGTGTTCCTGTAAGAAACATACATTTCTAAATGACACATTCCTGTAGAACAAGTGTCAATTAGCCGCCCCTTCTCAGCGGCTCATTCAATAAATGTTAAAAACTGTATAACTGTCAAAAATAATTTTTGTTAAGGTGAATGCAATAAGGATTTATCTTCAAAGTTGATAAAAAAATCCAACAACCAAACACGTGAGAAAAAAGAATCAATTTCGCGCAAAATAAACAAATAGTTGTTGAAACACAGTGTTTATTTTGGAAATCTTTTTCATGCCCATAAAAAAGGGAAAACCTTATATGTTTAATAATTTTATTTTAATTCTTCATAGAACTGTTTTGTTTTCAAATCTCAGAGAAGGGATGGGTGTTATGTTTTGAAAGTATTGAAGTAAATTTTACTTCAATCAGTTGAAGTAGAAACGTACTCAAGAATATATAATTCAATTTAAAATATTTATTGAATGCTAACTTTTACTTCTTTTTCAAATGCAGGAAATGGTAAGCGATGATATTCCAAGAAAATCAGGGCAAACAATCAGCAGAGTCGACAGAACGTTTGTTTGAATGCAGAAAGAATAGGATCTCATAAAAAATCAAAATGACCATGTGCTGAAAAACATGAGACGCAAAGCGTCGAGGGCATACTGCGCCAGATGAAAAGCGTCAGATGAAGACAACTGGACCGGCGTCGAGTTATTGTTTGAATTATTAATTTCATTTCTCATATCTCAGTCACACGGCAAATTCTCTGATTTCTTTTTTCCTCGATGAATACTAATCCCTTGTATTTGCCACAGAGAGAATATCAAGATTCAACACATTTTATTTTTTTCACGTTACTTCTCGATTTTTGTTTTTATTTTTTTATTTAAAATTGATATATGTATGTATTCATCCGTTAAAAGACAGCATTTCATTCGATACTGTATGGAATGAGTTCCAAAGTGGAAAAAAAGAAACACAAAGAACTTGTGTGATATGTGTTACCTTATTTAAAAGAATGGCTTGAGAAATTTTTCTCAATTCATATCACATTATTTAATTGATAGTGCTTTTTATGTTTCCATTGTTTGATCAGATTTATTTTCGTTGCTTGCTTTACACACTGTAATTAGGAATATGGTTTACATCTTATGCTTTCTGCTCTAGAAATTGAATTGGGGTTCATATTTTTTTTTTCTTAAAGGTAGTATAATTATTTGCCAAAACAATTCAGTTTTGATAACTTCAGAACTTTTTTGAAAATAATTTTTTTTCTGCTTTGTTTCTTTAAATACAAAAACCAAATTTTGACATCCAGATTTTTGAAATGATGTTGATAAGCTACATGTACCATGTCCCGGTGTTTTCATGTAAGAAAACCAATGATTTTGAACTGAGAAGGAAATGTACCACACATTTAAATTAATTTCTTGAGGGGCATTTAAGTTGATTCGAATTGAAATATATTTTATTTCATTTTCTTAACGTTTTGCATGTTTTGGTTACTGCATGCTACTGCCGTTTCACTAGAGATATTTATTCTATAATATAAATGACAGATTGACATTAAAATGTCACCTTCGTGTAGTCCGAAATAAAATTTCAAAATTAATGGTGTATACGTTGATATCCTTATTAACATATTTCAATTCAAACAAAGAAAGTGGAAAAATTCATGTTAGGTCCATTGTGCTTATGCAAGAAAAGTTGTCTATTATTATATGACACATAATGTTCACTTTACATTTTTGAAGTCGTATAAACCAGTTTGTATTTTGCTTCATTTTGTTGTTTAAGATATTATAAACTTTATTTTGGACCTTTGAAATAAAGGATTAAAAACAAGAAGAAATATTTTTATTGAAAGCTTCATGGAACTGCGGCCAAAGAGAAATGTTGCCCTCTGTTAATATAAGTATATAATAAAAATATATATTTTCTCTCAAAATATTACTCTGAAAGTATTAATGGTTACGGTTACACTTTAAAATCAAAATTGGTTTTGTTTTAAAAAAAAAAAAGTAAATTCCCTTATGCCGTGTGTAATCCGAGCCCATTGATTAATTGTATGTTGCTTGGCATCCCTCTCAAAAATTTTCCGTCATTTGGAGCCCTTCGAGAATCAGCACATCGTAACTGACTGAATGGCAAATGATATTTTCTAACATGGTCTTTGTATCGACCAAAGAACTTATGAAATGATGACTTTACCCGAAACTGCTCATTTTCCTGTTTCATCAACTAGATTGTCAATAACTTACCTTGTTTATGAGATTCTTCGAACTTACAGCATGCTCTTGCGTATCGAATCACCTTTGAGAGATATTAACTTTGCAGGTGATGAGGGTATATTGCTGCATAAGTAAGGAAAGTTGACGATATAAAAAAGTCATCACTTTTGTTATAAAGTTTGGTTTTAAGAAATTACAATCCCTTGAAAACCTTTGTCGATATCGGCTTCAACGATGGTTTTTTGTGGGATAACAATGTTACCTGTTACATTTCTAGAAGTTTTTTTTAAAAGTCAAAACGACATTTGATTTGAACTTCACTCTTCAAGAGACATGTATTTTCTTTAAAGTTCATGTAAAAATAAACATCGGAGAGAGTAATTACTTTGTAGGAATATTATGACTTTGATATTCCTTGCATGTGACTTTAATTTAAAACTCGTCGTTCAAGGTGTGTATATAAAACTTCAATATTGAGATAAAGTTTGTTTTAAGTGGTTAATTTAATTAGTTCAATTTTATTTAACCATTTCTAATTTAGATTAGATTTTATTCCTAATTTTTACCCTCTTTACCACTAAGAGGGTCTAAACTTAATTGCATTGCATCTCTTTTCAAAATGTAGTATTTCTTACAAATATAGGTTTATTATTGACACAATGTCAGAACGGATAAAAAGTATCAGAAGAATGATGATGTCTCGCATCAAAGGTTGAAAGGCAGTTTTAAAGCCATATATTGTATCTTTCAGTCTTCCACATTTTAAATATAAATTGAAAATTAGATCGATTACACGATAAAATGGTCCCTGCCGACAAACTATTGTGCAATACTGTATTTGTTTGCGATCCTCATTATCTAATCGAATTTTTGAAGTTTGATTTAATTTTGAAAATAACAATCCAATTGAAGTATTCACGTAGGTCTCGTGGCGCTGTGGTTAGAGCGTTTTTTTCGAGTCACGAAATAAGTTGTTTACGCCTCGAAATAAAATTTCAACTAGGGACTTTGAGACCTGTTTTCCATAAAAGACCCTATAACTATAGGGTCATGAGGTTGAAGGTGCTGACAAGGAAAAGATGCCCGGCCTTTCAAAGGCTGTAAATGCGCAGTATACAGGTCTATTTTTGCAGCACTTCCAACAATAGGTGCCAACTCATTACATGAATGTTTGAACAATTCTTGGGGGAGGATAAAGAAATAAACAATAAACTTATTAAGTTCCCTTTGTTAGAAGGAAATTCTTCAAATCACATGTGTTACATGTATTTTAATTGAATTTTTGAATTAACATATCTATTATACTGGATTTCTAAAGTGCATAAAAATCATGACAAATATAAAAAGCAGTTCAAGAAAGCATTCTACCGCTCCTCTTTTTTAGTGCTGAATAAAAAGCAGTATCAACAGCAATACTTTACATGTACAAATAAAAGGTAAGAGAAGAGGTGCTAGTCAGATGTGGTATCTTGAAACTTCAATGGTTTAAATAAGTTAGAATCGTAGACTTATACCAAACCAATGTATAGAATTATAATTTCGGAATTTTTGTTTACATCTTGACATTTTTGGTAAAAATGAAACGTACATTTTATATCTCGTCATAAGCCATCTGCGAAATTCTTTTGTAAAAGCATCCTGATTGTACACACAAGTACTCTGAAAGCGACAAAAAAGATGCCTTAAGCTTGTTGATATTATCTTAGATAGAATGTTCTATCGTTAAAATGATATTGTCCTACGGACCCGGTTTAACTGTGGTGAGGGCCTGTACCGAGACACAGTTAGATTATTCTAACTAATATTATCTATGATTGTTTTGGTCATCAAATCATCCAAAATTCTATTTGGGTTTCCTACTGGTTCTAAACAAGCCTCACTATAAGCAGTCCTATTCTTGTATTTGTATGAAGCAGAATCTATTTGAAAACATTAACAAAAAAAGGATTTCTGGCTCCGACCATCACTTCGTCATTTAGACACCTCCTACATAATGATTTAACCTTTGAGGTCTTATAGACCCGTCATGTGCATTGCTGGCTTCAGTATACTAGTATAATACTAATAAAGCTACCACGTAAGAATGCAAGATAGAATATCAATTTCATAAAACAATAGCTATTAAAAGATCATCGTAAAGCGCATGTCTTGTTTTTCTTGGTATTTAATGCTTCACACATTTAAGTTGATGGAATTGCAAAAAAGACTGTCATGATTGCGAAAGCTTTGTGTACTTTATCATGTTAAAGGCAAGTCATACAAAAATTCAAACTTCCAGTAAGTTCCTTTAAGAAGCACATAGCGGGGGCGACCGATCGACAGTGGATGCTTAATCCTCAGTGACAACCGATCCCCCTCTGATGTTTTAGGGTTTTTTTTTTGGCTTAGCTCCTAAGAAAAAAAGATACTCTAACTTAAAAGAAAATTAAATAAATAAATAAAGATTTAAATTTCATTTTGTCACAAAATGAAATAACGAACATATCTTGTTACTTGTATTCATTTCTTAAACGTCGTCGATTGATTTGATGTTGAGAAGAAACTGATGTATCAAAAATGCTCCTCAAATGTTCATTTTTTGACATATACCGGGTACCTTATCGAACACCAATTAGTTGGGTCTTTGTTTTTTAATACTAAATCTGAGTAGAATTTTCAAGGTTCCGATTAATCCCTTTCCCTAAGATTTGCATTTTTGTATTTTTAAAGATCATAGTTGATTCGCTATCTTCATAAATATTACAGATTATAACTTTCCGAGGATTGAAGAAAAACCGCATTTATCTGTCTTGTTGAATACATACACTAAGTATCATGTCTTGAAGACAGGACTTGCAATACTGGCTTCTGTATTATACAAATGAACCTAACACGTAAGAAGCAATATCAATTTCATAAAACAACGGCTATTAAAAGATCAATCTCAAGCGCATGTCTTGTATTTTTAAGTAATAAGTGTTTTCACACATTTAAGTTGACGGAATTGCGAAAAGACTGTCATCGCAAAAGCTTTGAGAACTACGCATGTTAAAAGCAATTCATAACAAAGTTCACACTTTCAGTAAGTTTCTTTGAGAAGGACACAGTAGTTGTGACCGGTTGAGAGTGTATGCTTAATCCTCAATAGCAACCTATCCCCCTCTCACGTTTTTAAAGATTTTTTTTGCTCCGCTCCTCCAATGGATTTTGAGCTTTGAGACAACACACTTTGAAAAAAATACGCATTTTGTAAAAAAATAAAAGTGCGTTAAAATTAAAACAAATACAATGCACTTTGAGAAATATTTTAAAATGGGTCAAATTTGGGACGTAATCAACGCACTTCGAATTATTTTTTTTTTTTCAAAATGCGTTTAGAGTATATATATCAACATTTTTTTTTTATCATGGAGGCACTTAACACACTTGAAAAAATATGGCAAAACAAAATTTCCGTACTAAGATTTAGTTATACATTATTATTATTTTTTCTTTTATTTCTTTCAAAAAACCGATGAATTCATCTTATCTCATCGAGAAGAGGGGAAGGCAGAAAAAAAGACCCAAAGCCCATTTCTTTATCTTTCATACCCGTATGTGCATTCACGTTTCTCTCAACGTAAAATTAATTTTCAAAATGAAATAAGCTTTCCTTAAAATAAATGTTAGAAAAGGCCATGATGTCTTCTTGCTTCTTCTTGATGTCTTCTTGCATGGGAATTTACATTTTTTTTCATTCTTAATGCTTATCAAATTACTATAAACAAAGAATGTTACTTTGTGTTGGAAAATTAATTGCAATGAGCATATTTTGTCGCATATTTCGTACCCCTAAGGGTCCTTTGTAAAACGTCTACTTAGTATATTTCAGATTATGAAGTGAAATAATCACAGAAAAGTTATCCAAACAGGTTGAAATAATTATCATATTTAATATTTTCCAGTCGTGCAAATTATTTATTTCAAAGTTCATTGTTATTAATGCACTTTGAAAATAAAAATGATTATTTTTTCTTCATAGTGCGTTAACTTGGTTCCAAATTTAATGCACTTTAGATTTTTAAAGTGCTTAATTTTTTAAAGTGCTTTGTAACAGAGCTTCAGAGCTGTTCATTATTACTGATTACTGATCTAGTATCAAAGAAAAAATTAAAAGAGGTAAGAACTATATATTTAACATCTTTTAGGTTTAGAAAGATAGAATTGTGATATCGGTATTTCTTGCATCGTTATGTCGAATATCTGACGTCGAAGTCTTGGGTGGCTCAACCTCAACCATCTACTGTAAATTATCGCTTTTTTCAGCTTTTTTTGTTGAAATAGACCATATCAACAAATCGAAAAAATTGTAAATTTTTGTGTATTTTTATGTTTCTATGAGTATACTGGCATGTGGTGCATCTAATTTACAACAGTAGAGATCCATAGAAAGAAAAGTAACTCTAACTTAAAAAAATCTTTTAAGAAAGAAAAAAAGGAAAAAAATTCCATGTATAAAAATGCTTCATGCGATGAAATTGTCAACATATTTTTGCTTTATAAATATGTATTCGATTGTCAATAGAACAATAAGATATAAATACATTACAATGAAATGAATAAAATTCAAATTATTACAAACTAATTAATTTGTTGTTTTAAA